CTATTTAAGTAAAAAGAGAATTTAAGTAGAAAGAGAATTTGATACTAAATTGTAGCCACTTGGGCAATTAGTTTATTTTTTAGCAGAGTTAAACCAATGAATATTTTTGAAGCTATAATAAAAAATAAAAGCATCTTCATTGAGAACAAAATGAACTTTCTGTAAATATAATTTAAACCTATTGTTTTAAGGCTTTATGTTTTAAAAACAAAAATGGCACTATTAAAGTGAGACAGATAAAGATGTACTTGGGGAAATTCATTAACATAAGAAATGTATTATCCCTTGGTAATATGAGTTCAAAATTAAAACTTGCTTAGCAAATGTAAAAAATAATCTCTCCTGTTGCAGATTAACTTGCTTTTTGTTAGTTTATTTCTCTATTCATATCAAATAATAAAATATTCATATGTAATCAAGACATTCATAATAATATTAAAGGCAACACTGTGTACTTGACAACTGGTAAATAATGAAACAACTTTTTCATGATTATGTGTATAAAATACTCAAATTAATCTATAGAGCCACATAATCCCAAAATGTACAGGGTTGCTCTAGAGCCTGCAATTGTATCACTTCCTATATAGAAATACTATTTGACCAACAGGATTTTAGTTGCTTGCTGCTTTTGAAATATGATGATACTAATAAGAAAGAGTGTTAAAAAGAGAAAGGCTAGAAATTGCAATCTTAGTTATTTAAATGAAATAATAAATAGGCCACATAAAGATTTTAGAACCCAGTGAAGCAATATTACAAACAGATATAAAATGACAGTGAAAATCACGTGTGAAATTTTGAGGCAAAACTTATTAGAACCAGTTTTCTGTCAGGAAAAGTTGTGATGTCATTTGTAGGGACATGGATGAATCTGGAAACCATCATTCTCAGCAAACTGACACAAGAACAGATAATCAAACACCTCATGTTTTCACTCATAGGCGGGTGTTGAACAATGAGAACACATGGACACAGGGAGGGGAGCATCACACACTGGGGTCTGTCTAGGGGCTAGGGGAGGGACAGCAGAGTGTGGGGAGGTTGGGGCGAGATAACAAGGGGAGAAATGCCAGATAGGGGTGACAGGGGGATGGAGGCAGCAAACCACATTGTCATGTATGTACCTATGCAACAATCTTGCATGATCTGCACATGTACCCTAGAACCTAAAGTACCATTAAAAAAAAAAAAAGAAAAATAATGTGAAGTGGCTGGTAGAATGACAGAAACAAGAAGACACAGATATGCCTTGTGGAGGGAGAGCTGACATGTTTGACTGGTTGACAAATAATATGATTGATCTTCTGGTACTACCTTTTAAGTTTGTGATAAGAGGCTGCTTCACATCATAAACAGAAATGAATTCCAAATCCTTTCTCACTCACTAGGATTATCACTCAGGCAGTTTACTTTTCTGAGCTCTGGTTATGAAAAAGAATGCCAATCTCATGGTGTGGTTTTAAGACTTAAAAGTGCTTATCTGTGTACAATGCTTGACACATAATAGGCTCTAAGCAAAAATTAGCCCTTTCTCCTTGGTAGATTACCCAGGACACTACTATCAGTGTCAAATCAGAAAATTCGTTAAGTTGTATTATCTCTGTTTGAAGATCAAACACAATATATAGTCAAAAAGTTGAGTGTACAGTGTTTTGGGTTTTCAGGAGTTGTCTTCAAACACGTGGTTTAAATAAGGACCAGAAGTAATTCAAAGGTCCAGTAAGGCTGTTGGCCTGTGGTATTCCTAATGCCTTTTACTGTGCTAAATGGATATGGCTACAGTAACTTTTGATAAACATGAACAACAGAGGGTAAGTGCTAGACTAGGGGAGGACTTACAGAAAGCTAAAGGGTTTAAGCTTCAGAGACCTTCACCTGCACAGGCCCCTTTTTAGGCCTTTTATCTAATTTTTATTTGTACATTATTTTGCTTAAAGAAGGCCCTCATATTAAATAATTTACAGGCCCGGCAAAAGCTTGATCCCCTGCTACTGGTGTGTCACATAAAAGGGAAAAAAAAATCACTATGACTAAAAAAGAATAAGGCAAACAATAGCAGGAAACATGAGTTTTGCTTTTCTTGCCCAAATCATGATTTGTTGGTAACCCTTGACCCTAGGTGCTTACATGCTCTTGATCACACATTAGCCCTTGCCTATCTAGGAAAGCATGCTGTAGTCCAGCATCAGCCTAAGAATTGCCCATATGAAGAAGTAAGGACTGCCTGTCAATCCAGGAACTTGCAGTTAAATTGCACAGGTATTTGATTTCTGACATTTTTAGGTGGGTAAAGGGGAAGAATTAGATGGGAACCACCTTTATATTGACCTGACTCCATATGTGCCAAAATGAGTTAGGCACTGTGCATAGATTATCACATTTTATACTGCTTGGTAAAGAATATTATCTAACTTGAGGCTTGGGAGAGGTGAAGTAACTTCTTTTTAAATAGCTAGTGGAGCTAGAATTCAAACACAGGGCTTTGTGAAGTCAAAGCTCATGGTCTTTCCAACCTCCCTGTAAGGCTGAAGCTTACCTGCCAATTGTCAGCCACTGAAAACGAATGGACATTTCACCTCCAGTTCACCTAACGATTTTGAATACTTAAACTCCTGCCAGCCAATTGGCAAGCTTTTCTTTCTTGGTCCCTTCATTTCCTCATGTATGAGTGCCCGTCTGTAATATGCTGCATTCTACTTTAATTATTACTTCTTCAAAATGGTCACAGTCACCAAGAAGGTCTCCAGTTAGGTAGGTAGACAGACAGAAGATAGACAGATAGAAAGAAAAAAAGATGGGGGTGTGGGGGAAGGGAGAGAGGTGTCATTTTTTAAATAAAAATTTTATGATTGTATGATTAATAGCTATTATTATTTTACAAGCAGCCTCATGAGTTCTTTTGAAATTCATGTTGTTCCTTTAAATTTCAGTTTTACATTTTAGCTATTTAAGCCCTAAAACTGAAACACTGCTCATAATTTGGAGTTAGCAACTTCAAATTTTTATTCCTAAGACCTATACATCAAGGTTATAATTTAAAGTAAGGAAAAATTTTCATCTCTCAACCTTTTCATTTCTCCTTTCACAGAAGCTCTTCTCTTTTTCCTGGATAATTTTTTTCCACCTTCATAATCACTGACCAGTTATTTGTAATGTAGTTATAACTATACTACTACAGAAATTCAAATAAGTACAGTGCATTAGGGAGGGAAAGGATAATTTTAGATGAAATATGTAAAGCTGTGGCCTGTGGCCAAGGCTTGACTAACGAGTCAAACAGCTACTGAAGGATTTGACACCCTTGTTAATTGTAAAATTCCCATTGCATTAAAATATTCACTGACACTCTAGTCCCAAAACAACATAATGAATAGAAGCTTACACTAATCAAAATGATATCGGAACATTTTAAATATGAGTTCTAAGCAAACAACTCATGTATGAATGAGGGAAGACGTGACTTGAATGGACCAAGTACCTACTCCAAGTGCAAACTTGTCCAGCCTGCAGGTCACTTGCTGCCTGGGAGAGCTTTGAATGCAGCCCAGCACAAATTTGTAAACTTTCTTAAAACATTGTGAGGTTTTTTTGCAATTGTTTTTTACCTCATCAGCTATCATTAGTTAGTGTATTTTATGTGTGGCCCAAGACAGTTCTTCTTTCAGTGTGGCCAAAAGATTGGACACCCCTGCCGTAGTGAAATAGACTGTTTTTAGGAGGCCTCATTTTAGTAACAGGAAAGCTTGGCAATTGTATTAGTCCATTATCATGCTGCTATGAAGAAATACCTGAGGCTGGGTAATTTATGAAGAAAAGAGTTTAATTGACTCTCAGTTCCACCTGCCTGGGGAGGCCACAGGAAACTTACAATCCTAGCGGAAGGCACATCTTCACAGGGCGGCAGGAGAGAGAATGAGTGTCAGCAGGGGAAATGCCAGATGTTTATAAAACTGTCAGATCTTGTAAGACTCACTCATTATCACAAGAATAGCATGGAAAAAACCACCCTCATGATCCAGTTCCCTCCATCTGGCCCCGTCCTTGACATGTGGAGATTATTACAATTCAAGGTGAGATTTAGGTGGGGACACAGAACCCAACCATATCAGCAATGTAACCAAAATATTATTTATTTGATTAAATAATGTTAGGTTAAACTGTGTTAAGGTATCTTATGATTATTCATGCAGTGAAGTGTGCACAGATAAAGATGGCTCTAATTTATATACAGTATCTTTCCATGAGGATTCTGAGTTGAGTGTCCAATTTTATCTCAAAGAGTAATGTCTTGATTATAACACGGTCTCAGTGCTTGAAGCGGTGACTACCACATTGTACATATGGTGAACTATCCAAAAATGAAATCCTTGTTACATGATGGATAAAGTGTGTTTACATGTACCTTTTGTAACAATAGACAAAGGTGCTTAGTTGCACAGATGGCATTATACAAACAAATCTACAAACAACACACTTATAAATAATATAGAACTGGAAAATAAAATGGTATTGCAAACATATTTATGTCTGCTATCATTTCCTTCAACAAATAGAGACTTCTGCTTTTCTATATTTATTCACAAAAACTTTTATATAAGCCTTTCTTTTAAGGAATACTCTTTATCTCTGCTTATTCCCCCAATCTGGCTCATTCTTGCTGATCATAGCACAAACAAAATATACTTTCAAAGCCTTTAAAATTTTCTCCTAACCATTGATTTAGGTGTATGTCTGAAAAGATAAATGTGTCTTCATTGGGATGTGTTTGTTTTTATGTTGGTCAAGATAAGCCAACAGCTTGAGTACCTGAAATATTATCAAGCTTTGCACACATGAAAGTATTTGGTAAAAATATAATCTTGGAGGGTATGATTATAAGCAGATTCACATCCTCAGGAGTGCTATGAGAGACTTTTATTGTTCCATAAAATTTGCAGTTTTACTTTTTAAAAACTCAACTAACCTTTTCCTTCTCTTTCCCTCTCTTGCTGATACAGATCCACATCCAGAGGACTGAAGGATGTGACCACATGACCTGCTCACAATGTAACACTAATTTTTGTTATCGATGTGGTGAGAGATACCGCCAGCTCCGATTTTTTGGAGACCACACATCAAACCTCAGTATATTTGGATGCAAATATCGCTACCTCCCAGAGAGACCTCATTTAAGGAGATTAGTGCGAGGGTCAGTCTGTGGTGAGTGTCTGACGTGCTTATGTGTATCTTCCCTGGGAATTAAGTCATGAAAATAGAACTTAGAAATGTGCAGCCAGGGATAGGGGGCAAAAAAAAAAAGATATGTGCAGCCATGATAATTTAGAGCACTTGCCACGTGCCCAGTATTCAGAGGAGGATATTCTCTCACCCTTTAAGATTAAAATTTAAAACTTAAATTTTGTTAGCAGGACACTACTTAAATAAGCAAGTAGACTTTGTCTGAAAAAGCAAATTATTAATCATGCACAGAAATCTGAAGTTATTTGCCTCTCAAATTTCTGAAACCCTATCATAAGCCACTTGACAAGAGGGACAGTGTCACATTTATTTTTGTAATGCAGAATATCCAGCAGCAGGTCTTATAGATATCTTCTACCCATTTATGGAGGACATGCAATACACTACAGCATGGAACATGGTCTAGGAAGGTGGGGGGGAAAATCCACCTTTTAGAGCCTTGTAATAAAGTTCCATTATATCTATATAATTGATAAGCTGTGTATATTTTCATTGTTTTAATCATTAATAGGTAACAATTAATATAATTAATAAGTATCAAATGCCCTCAGTGCATACAAACCCAAGTTTAATTATCCAAGTGAAAATGCTTTTGTAGATTGACTTTTTACCCCCTCTTCCTCAACAACACATAGTAGCCTCATACACAACCCCTTCCCACACTGGCACACAAATATGCAAACAGAAACACAGACAGCTGCCCATAAACAAATCGCTCTGGCCAAATGCCACTGGCTTTGGGTAATATGGAGTTCTTTGACCAAACGTTTCTTCTTCTACTCCTCTGGAATGTATTCCATTCCCTTCTGCTCTGGGATGGAACCATGTGAGATTTCGTCCTCTTTTTCATCACATAGATGTCTGCTAAAATTGGTTTTCTGGCAGTGTTTTTGATGTGTAGGCAATACTTTTTATTATCTTCCACATTTTCCTTTTCCTTCCTACTTTTGCCCAGTTACTTTATGGAAAATCTTTATATCTCTCCTTAGCCCTTTGTCACTTCATGACTGTTGTGAACCGTTTTCCTCCTTAGAAGTGTATGATAGATGATCAGAACAAAGCTGATGTTAGTGATAGATTTCTGTCAGGTAAAAGAACATATATATTCAAATGCACTTTCACATATGGAAACCAATGCCATCATTTTCTAAAGTCTATGTGATCTTTATAAAAATATTCTTCCTGAGGTTAATTGAACATAAGTTTCCACAGCCAATAGTATTCAATAGTCAAGACTGCTTTTAATGATTTTTCACTGTGTGCCATTCCTTAATTTGCAAATATGGTAGATGCTGTAACTATATAATTGGTTATAATTATATGACCAATATAAAGTATTAAACAGGTATTGGAGGGGTAACTAGGAAATCTAACCTTAACCTCTAATACTTTGAGAAAATTAATTGCAAATTAAGTTTTGAGATAGAACCTATTTGCAAATCTATGCAGAGAGTAACTTGAAAACACAAAATCACTGTATTTTCTGCTTTGTTATTTTATTTTCTACCTCAGTGCCACCTTTAATTTTATTATGGCAGGGTGTTCACTTCCATTCTTTATTTTAAAAAGAGAAGACATTTATTTTGCTCATGGCCCTAGAGGCTGAGCAGTCCAAGATCCAGTGGCTGTATTTGGTGAGGGCCTCTGTGCAGTGTGGCAGGAGGGCAGGCAAGCACAGGAGATAGGGAGAAAACGGGAGCTGAGCTTACCCTTTTGTCAGGAACCCACTCCCTTGATAACCAACACACTCCCATCATAGTGGTATTAATCCATTCATAAGGGCTCTGCTCTCAATTCCTAATCACCTCTTACAGGCCCAACCTCCCAACCTCCTTTCTGGCCTGTCTTTTGTTGGGTACACTTGCATGTGTGTACATAAAATCACATCAGGTTAAACCTGACAAAGTAGGGAGCAGCAGGCTTGAAGATAAACTCTCATCCACACATATTTTCCCCATCCCAAGCACAGCTGCCTCTAACCGTTATTGGACCGAAACTACAAGTAAAGTGGTCCTACCTCCGCCATCCCCACAAAAAGCAGGAAAAGTAATTTTGTGATTTATAAAGTTACATACTCCCTGCCATTTCAGAGAGAAGATGGAGTATAGGAAAGCCTTCCCACCCACTGTCCTTGTGTGATATAAGCTAACTTGCTGCCTTAGTCTTGGAATACTGCCTCATGTGGTCCTTGGCCAGAGGCAGAGAAAGAGAATTCATCTCTCTCACAGCTGAAGGGTGGGAAATATGGTCTTCATTCCACGTAACCATGTACCCAGCTAGAGATCAAATGTTCTGCTCATATATTATAAGGGAGAAGAGAGATTTGGGGATGATTAGTCTGACACAGGGGCATCTCCACAGTGCGGGGTGGGTAGATTATTAAAGGAATGGCACTGGGCATAAAAGTGGCCGAGGAGAAATTTTAAATTCTCATATTACTCCATACAAAAATTCTAAGTTTTAAGTCATATAATCTTGAAGACTAGGTCTTCAATTGATTTCTAGATGACAATTAATTTATATAAACAAAAACAATGGAGCCTTCTCCAAAAATGAATACTCAATTAAAAAGAAATGATAAGCCTGGAGCCAGAATTGAAGAAATACAAGTAGCCAATACATATGGTAAAAAATATTCAGTGTTATTAGCTGTCACAGAAATGTAAGTCAGCATTCTCAAAATGAGATGCTAACTAATCATTAGTTAGCAGATGTTTAATCAAGTTAATAATACTGCACTTTCATACTTAATGAATTGAAAATTTTGTACAATTCTTTTGTAAAGAAATTTGATACTAATGTGAAGCACATTTTAAAACATTAAAATCTAGATAGACTGAAAATGGTTGATGTGCGAGTATAATTTAAAATCGGAAAAAAGGAACAAAAAAGTATAGGAATATTTAAATAAAATATGATATATGGATATGATAGAATATTATTTTAGCAATTGAAAATGATGTTTTAAACAATGTTACTAATTTAGGAATAAGGGATAGTATGCTTAGTCCCTTAAGATGGTTTCAAAAGTAGATGTAAACATGTTTTGAACATGGATTACATAATTGGAGTAAGTTTTATTTCCTATCTGATTTCTTGAATTCTGTGATGTTTGAGAGGAAAAGGAAAATCAATGCTGTTACTTTGTAGTCATGTTTTATTAGTATTAGCAAAATGTACTGATAATTATTTAAAAAGGAAATATGAATGAACAGACTGATCTATATGCAAAGGAGAAAAACACATTCTTTTAAAATACATGTACTTATATATCCTAAACTCTTAAGCATCACTTTAAGAGTGCATTTAACATAATTGTTCAGTGGGACTTATTACTTACTTGGATTCTGTCATTGGTGAAAAATATAAATAAAACTCATGTCTAGACATGCTGCTAATTGAATGGAGATTTTTAAAATTAGAAATTTAAAACATTATTATATACCTGTGTGGTGATCTTGTTCCAAAGATCATTCCTTAAGAATAAAAAAGTTAATATCTTTTGACAAACTTCCAACAAATGGCTGTATGATGTTTCTTTTTTTTAATGCAACTGGTTATTCTAAATTATTGTCCTTAATTTATAGAATGGTGTTGCTGTTTCATTCTTAAATTGCAACATGAGTCTACTGCAAAGTTTCTGTTTCTCATCTCTTGTTGCATTTGAGTTGTGCAGCTGTGAAGCTGTGTTATATCCTTGAGGCTTACAATACAATAGCGACATGTTATTTATTATTGCTCTTTTTTGTGGCTGTGTCTTTCAAAGTCAGTGGGATTGTGATGGTGGATTCTGCCATGTATACTTAAGAGAAGAGTTTATCATCACTGCTTAATGATTTATTTAGAAAATAAAATGCTGGCTGATACCACTTGACATCCTTACCAGCACTTACCCTTCTTATTTTATAAGTGTTTCCTTTTTCAATTTGTTAAAATGATTCACTTGAGTATCTTTCAACATACTGTGTATATATTGGTAGCTTTCTCTAATATCTTAAAATGTCCCATTTGTAGTTCAGTCTGGTAGGCGTTCATATTATTAGTTTTCTTTGGACCCAGGATGTAAATAAACCACTTCTTTAGATGTGGGCTTGAACAGAAGCCCTCTGTAGGGCCTAGCAGCTCTTCATGTTGTAAGCTAACTAGATTTTCTCCTACCAACTCAAAATGCACCACTTAATCTTTTAGCATTGCGATCATGAAAATGGAAAGGATCTTAAGGAAAAGCATAAAGATGAACTGTCCTGGTAGAATACAGTGAGCCAGATGTTTTGGAATGTTTTTGATTGGGAAGGATAAGTGATTTATGAGATATTTGGTGCATGTGCTCAGGACTTTGGTGAAGTTACTAAACTTACATGTGTATATCTGTTCTATACCTAATCCTGATACATTTCTTAGATATATACAGCCTTAAGTGTAATCAGACTACTTAAAAAATAATACACACTGTGATATTTAAAAAGCATCACTGCTATTATGTGGTAAGTTAGTTTTGAGACTCCTGAAATTATTTTGCCTTTTGTTTTCCAGCTGGAAAATTATTCATTGCACCTCTAATTATGGTTTTGGGATTGGCACTAGGGGCCATAGCAGTTGTAATCGGTAAGAAATACTTCATGTACCTGAGATTAGAATTTTCTGAGGGCCATAGGGAGAATATGAGTGTAAATGTAATAATATGAATCAATTATTAATTGGACATAATTTCTGTTGTATGCCTCCTTTAGATAGATCACCAGAATATCATTTAAAAGATCAGAGGAGCGTGTTTTCTGTAGGATGTGTTAGTATGAATTTTTCAGTCTATGAACACTCTGAGTTATGTATCTTATAAAGCATTATTAACTCTTTTATGATACAAGGTTAATAGAATTAGTATCTTAGGGAAGGAAGAAAGTGGAATAGAATCCAAATTTTCTGATTCTGAGTACAGCCTGAAGCATCAAGGAAATAAAGTTCTGGTTCACCCTATGTGTTTGGTTTGGTCCAGTAAAAGATGCCATGGATAAAATCAGGTAATGTCAGTGTTCACAGGAACATATACCCAGCATACACTTGAGCACTGACAAATAGAAAACCTTGCAGTGATTTGCATAGTTTTATTTATGCAAGTATATTAAAATATGTATTTTAAAACAGTGGTTTTCAGACTGTAGCATGATTTAGGAATATCCTGGAGGGCTGGATAAAACACAGATTGCTGGTTTCTATCTGCAGTTTCTGACTCAGTATAGGAGAAAGGTCCATGGATTTTTATTTTTAAAAAGTTCCCAGGTGATGCTCATGCAGCTGGTTCAGGGGCCATATGTTGAGAACCATTGCTTTAATAATTTTAAACTAAATGCTATAGATAAAGTCAGCTTTGGTCATTGTTCCATATACTAGATGGATTTTTTTTCTTGGCTAAATAAAATGGTTTTCATATGACAACCTGTGTTTAGCAATTAACACATGTGCAGGACAGATAGAATTGTAAAGTATCTGGAATTTAAGTTATTGCATATGAGTTGGGACATTATGAAATAGATATTATTATCTGTATTATACAGTTGAGAAAGCCTTACCAGGACCTCATAAGTGGTAGAACCAAGACTCAACCCCAACTTTTGGCTCTACAGCCTGTGTTGTTAAGTACTTAATATGCTATACTGCCTGAAACAAGTGTGGCTGTCATAGTGTGCAAATGATATGACTGTGGACAGTAAAGAAGATTGAAACCAAAAGTTTGATATTTTAATAGAAATCATTATTCCAATTTAAACTGGTATCACTGAGGGTGTTAAAAAGGGAGAAAAGCTAAAGAGAAATATTAAAGAATTATTAATTAAAGAATTAAAGAGAAATATTAAAGAATTATTAAAGAATTAAAGAAAAATATTAAAGAATTTTGTAGAAGTAAATACATTTAATAGCATAGATGTCTTCCTCTTTTCATGTTCATACATTGCAAATAAATAGGAACATTTTAAAATAGGAAAACCTAAATGTCTTCATCCTAACTAACTTTAATTTTTTTCTCCCTAGGTTTATTTGTATTTCCAATCTATTGCCTTTGTAAAAAACAGAGGAAACGATCACGGACAGGTATGCACTGGTAAAATGCAGATGATTTCATCCAACTAAGCTGGTTTGAGTAGTAGCATTATAGAATGGTACACCCATCTGTGAGTCACATCTTGAAAAATCCTGAGAGGAACATTCTACCATCTCATCTCCCAGTGATTCTCCGTGGGCCACAATGCCTCTAGCTATGGTGCACTCCCAACATGGTATCCTGTCCTTTCCCTAAACAAATTGCTGCTGCTTTTAAAAAATGGTCACTTTCATAAACTATAAACATCTGTATCATAACTCTGCCCTTTGTGGTTCTTGGAAGAAGATAATTTAAGAAGAGTTATCCTCAGAATTCTTCTGAGCACGCCTCTTCTGAGAATTGCTTGGACTGTCTTTGAACTCTGCGCCTCCTTCCAGGCCATCTTGTGAGACTTGGTGTGAATAGCTGAAATCCCATCTGTACCAACAAGCAAGGTCACTTTTCAGAAGATAAGAGTTCACTGAATGCACCTATTATAATCTGTGGCCCAAGCAGTATAATTCCTTTATCCATCAAATGTTATAATTGCTAAAAGTCTCAATGTCCAAAAGGGAATGAATGAAACTAAATTAATGAGAAGAATACTAAGTTACTGAAGTGTATATGTGTAGGGGTGTGAATGTGTGTGTATATATAAATATGTATTAAAACTAGGCCTAATAACCTTGTATTTATCCAGTTCCATGCCGCTACACTATTTTTTCACATTTTCATAGACGTATTGAAAGATGATGGTTCCTTTGTGGACGTAATTTGGCAATGTATTGAATTAAAGTCAATGTAGACAACAGGCTATTTCGATGCTGACCTTTTCTATTTATTGCTCTTTCTTTTGTCACACACACACAGAAATTTGTGCAATGTCACCTCAAGGAGTATTAAGCTTTGTAAACTGACAAAACTGGCTGCTTTTAGGAAATTTTCAAGACCCAAATATTCAGTCTTTTTAAAATGTATTTTGGAATAGATGCTTCATTCTATAGATAGATCCTTCACATGGGGATTATTTAATCCAAAAAAACAAGTTTGCTATAAAGAACTGCTTAAGCCTTTTTAAAAAATCCTATTCTGCTAATTTTTTCTGCTTTTAGGAAATTCTCAAGACGCGAATATTCAGTCTTTTAAAAATGTGTTTTGGAATAGATGCTTCACTCTATAGATAGATCCTTCACATGGGAATTATTTAATCCAAAAAACAAGTTTGCTACAGAGAACTGCTTAAGCCTTTTTAAAAAAATCCTATTCGGCTAATTTTTCACCCAACTTATAATTATAGATAATTCTGCTTTAGGTCAAGGTCTTACATCATTTAATATCCTAACCCTATTCTCTCTTGTCTCCTCCTCTTTTTTATTTGTTCCCAAGGTTTTTCATAAAAAACAATACAAGTTTTGAAGGATTTTTTCTTATGTTTAACTGCTCAAACATGTACACTTTTTTGGTGTCCTCTTATGGAGGAGTTAGTTTGAAAACTTTTATGTTCATCAGTTTATCCAAAATATCAACTCCTTTTAGAGAAGGAAACAAAAAAGTGAAGGAAATATTTTCAGCAAGTATTTTTCAACCCACGAAAGCTTTAAAAATAAGAAATAGACAAGTAACTAGACTATGATATGCCTTTGTTTTCATCACAGAAGTTAATCAGCAGACAGGAAAAAAAAGACTCCTAAAAAGCCTAAAGCTCCTAATTTTCTCAAAATTCTTAAAATTAGCCATTTGTCTTAGATGTACGTTTATTTGTTAACAACCCTGTCTGATTTGAAATAGATGATATGATAAAACATGCATTAACATGAGTAATCTATTTTTGTTGGCCTCCAGAGTGTAAGAAAATTTATTTTTGTTTTACATAAAGTAAAGTTTACCTGCTTGAATAACAAGCTAGCATGCTTTCACTCTTTCTAAATAACATGGAATATCTGTACTACAGCTTCTGGAAGTTGTCTATTTCCAGTTAGAAGAGTGTGTGACATTTATCGTGAATAGCATCTTTCTAAAGCATAATATTATACAAGAAAAATGTGATGCCCTGGTTTCACAAATTTATCTTTTAATTCACCCATCCATCCATTTGACAGATATTTACTGAGTGCCTGTTTTAGGTGTTCTAGTATTAAGACTGAAAGAAGGAGAATTTCTAGCCTGTCATAAATGTACTTAGGTTTTGTAAATTCATCTTTCCTGAACTTAGGCATTAGTTTGGCATTATGTGAATATGATGAACTCTAAACCTAGCTGATCTGTTTATGTATGATGTATATATATGTATGGTATATATGAAATATTCCCATAACTGCATATGAACACATATGCCATATACGTATGTACCAACTGGCTGAATAACATACTCTTTGGTCTTGGATAATCTATATTCTAGGTTATATGTCTGTTATCTTTGGCCTACTCAGGGATTTTTATTTCTTTTTTTAAATAACTTATCTTCTGGACATATTTTTATATTATTTGGAAAACTTTCCAATATTCCATTTACAACGTGATTTTCAGTGAAGGCTATTTCATCAATGCTTGAAATAGTGTGCACTGTGTTGCACAGGTTTTTCATTTTTCTATTGAGTAGATATTTTTAAATTAACATATGCATTTTTATATTAGGTGATATATATTAGGCCTTTCCCTGCTGGTAACTTAAAATGATTATTTGTGAATTTTTTACTAAGTTCCATCAAGATCTTAAAAAGAGAGAAGAAAATTAAAAGTATTATTTATATGTCAGTGCCAACTTTGAAGGTAAAACAATAGTAGGAACTTTTGGGAGAAATTCTAAAAACTACTTTAAAAAAGAAGCGTGCACATAAAATAAATGTCTTTCTATCCAAGGCTTGTCATTTTTATATGCTTTTATTGTAAATTTAATATATAGTACTTTAAAAAATTGAACCATACAGAATTTATAAAATACAATTTTCTCTGCTCACCCCACCCCTTGTTTTCTAGGGGTAACCACTGTTAATGGTTTAGTATGTGTCCTTGCAGGCACTTTCTACAAATATACAAATAAGTGTGTTTGTGTATGTGTCTGTGTGTTTATTCATTTTATACAAATAGAAAAATATTCTTACTGTGCTGTGACTGTCATTATATATCAATAGATACCTTTCTATAAGAGTTTAAATAGATTTACCTCATATTTTTAAATAAATTACTGCATAATCCATTGTAGGGGTATACTTTAATTTATTGAATTAGTCCCCTGTTGAATGGACTACAAGATTATTTTCACTTCCCTGTTACAAAGAAAGTGAGGACCCTTTGGCATATATTTTTGTCACCTTGAGTGAACATATCCATAAGGTTGTACATTTGTTTTTTTACAAGATATTTGTAATAAACATTTTAATATAATTTCAGGAGATTAGGTCATAGAATAATATAGGACCCTTTTTTGGATAAAAAGAAAGATTGTACAGGAGTGCATAATCTTTAAAGAAAATCGTCTTTTGAAGGATTATTTCCTTTCTACCTGATTAGAAAAAAAAATACCTTGCCAAAACTTACAAATCTTTTTTCAATAAAATAAAATTTGAGGAGATGTCTGTCAGATAATGTAAGAAAGATGAATTGACTTTTGAATTGCCTCATTTTAAAACTTGAGGGATTTAAATAAAATACTTGAGCGAAATTGGTGATACTTGTCACATTTTTAATAACACTGTCCATTTTTGTGTATGTTGCTTGACAGAAGAACTTAATTATGCCATTGTGAAAAGTAGGAAAGAATTATAAATGCCCACAACAATTCCCAGAAAAATAAATTAGATCATGTACGATTTAGTGATTTGATGGGATGATTATAAATCATGGAATAATTTATATATGTGGAGTGAGAAGAGAGGAGTCAAACCTTTTGGTACAAGCCACATCATGTTGCCACAACCTTGATTTTTCTCATAGGTGCTATTGTAGCCTAAGAGTAGAACAGATAAGAAAACAATCAAAGATAATTAAACACAAGTCAGGTTACAAGATGATATCGTTAAGTGTACTTTCTCTGCTGTGGTATCAAGATTCAGTGGTACTTGTCAGGAAATTCTTGTTCTGTAACACCCACTATCTCTTGAGTCCCAAGGCTCCAACTGATCCTTTATCTTTCAGTCTTACCACCCAAATATATTACCGTCTGCTCTCCTAAAATGCCTATGAATCACTGTAATCGTTTCCAGTCCCTGGTGCCCCTCCTCAACCTCATTTTCTCTATACCTCTGCTATTCTAACTATTCCTCTTCACTGAAGGAGAAGAGGAGAGACAGGAGGGGCCAAAAAATTCATTCTGGCATGTGCAAACATCAGTATTCCTTCCTGACCTTTGTCAAATGAGAGCACATCTACCAAGACATCAATCCAGCTGCTCTCTTGCTAAATGCAGTTGTTTTTTTTTTTTTTAACGTTACACTCGTACACTGGCTGTTACATTTAGAATTATCAAAAAGTTAGTGGCCTCTATAACCTTAATTGGCATACTTTATTAAGTACAAAAATAAATTTATGCCAAAAAACATTTTTAGACTTTAATTTTATAAGCAAGCTGCACATAAGCCTTAATATGAGTCTTCACATTGGATTATATTTTTATTCTTCCATATTTGTGGCTGAAATCTCTCCTAACTATTGAAAGTGATTTTCCATAGTCTGCTTTATTGTTTTGTGTTAATATCTGTTATAAATATAGCCTTAAAATTTCGTAATGCACTTTAAAATACTTGTGCCATTTAAATAATGTGATAGTTTAAGCAATCAATGCGTACATTTCAATGGAGACAGTATACAAAGTTAAAGCAACTGATACATGTATTTCAATGGAGACAGTAGGATAAGAGTGTTAGCAAATATGTGTCATCTCTTTAAATTTGGGAGGAATCAGAAGCTAAAGATTTAAAACAAGTAAAACATACCTGAAGAAAAGTAGCAATTTCTGAAATTATAGTAATCCTGTAAATTGGATATCAGGACCTCAAACATACCAAATAATAATAAAGTGTTACCTAATAGTCTAATTGGAATGTTTGTTTAAAATATTAAGTTAATTTCTAGTGAAAGTTTTAACTGCAATTCTATAATTCATTAATTCTATGAAAGAAATCTCCCTGACTAAAAATTCGATCAATCAAAACTACCAGTTTTGCATACCAATCCCAAGTTTAAGCACATTTTGTGTTTAAAGTTATAATTATGACACTGCTCACCTAATATGGAAAACAAGTTACAAAATTCTTTTCTTTTTTTTGGGACGGGGTGGGGTGGTCTCTCCTTGTTGCCCAAGCTGGTCTCGAACTCTTGGGCTCAAGCGATCCTCTCTCCTCTGCCCCTGGAATAGCTGGAATTACAAGCATGCTCCTACTGTGTATGTCTTCAAAATCACATTGTTAATGTGTATAGCCACAATTATTAATTTGAAAACGGAAATAATTTTATAGTAGCATTAAAGTATCATCAGAAAAAAATCAGAGTTCCAAAATTTGGTGAGTATTGTAAGATTGTGAAATGTTACCTTTTGGATGCAAACCAATGATACAAACCTTTAAGAGAGAATTACAGTGGGACTCCTTTATAACTCTGATTTTGAAAATAGAACAATTACACATTTCATAGCCAAACATTGTGTGGGACTTCTGTTATTATTATTTGTAAGGCTGAAACTCTAGTTGACTTCATCCAAATCCAAGAAACGGAGAGTCACAATAGTTTGAGACTATTCTCATTGCTTGTTTGGAGCATTAGCTGAAGCTTTACTATATCACATACCTTACAAATCCCTATACATATTCCAGTTTTACAAGAATGTAATTATGCATGTTACACACTATATATATATATATTTTTTTGGCTAAAGAAGTGACTATTTTGAGAATAACAATAATGATTGTAAAAGGCAATAAATTATTTTATTTGAATACACAAAATATTACCACTGCCTTTTTTTGTCACTTCCTTTCTTCTAAAAAGTTTCATTTGGTGTATCTAACTTTGTATCACTTAAATTATTCAGACTTCCTAACATAGAAAATACTTCTTTTTCAATTCTGTGCTGCATTGTGCCACTCTATTCCATCATTAATACTAAATGACTTTCCTTGTGAAATGATACCCACGTACTTCAACATGAAGCTCCTTTTTCTCTTGCATTTCCTAATTACCTGGTTTTTTGCCTCTGCAGTCTTCTTTCCATCTTGGCCAAGTGTTGGGATAAATTCTGTCTCACCCATAACTACTTTCACTGTAATGAAATGAATTCAGCACTGAAAGCACTCCAGAATTTAGCTCTGATAGTGAGCATAATATACCTTGGCTTATTTTATCTGTAGACGGAAATGTATCAGGAGTGCCTGGAACATTTTTCTCTCTTGATAGGAGCTGGAGAACACTGCCTAGCACTCTGCCAAGAAGTAAGTCAAGCAAATGAAGATACCAGTTGGATCAGAGGGCCTAATAATACTCTAAAACCAAGCTTCAGAAATTGCTTCATGACTGTTGTAAGATCAATATTGTGTTTGCATATTAGTTGGATAGAAAGCATGTGTGGACATTCACCCAACCTGACCCCAGGTCATTCTTTATCCAAAAAGGGTTCTAGCTATGATTTACGGTCTTTGTTTAGTAAAAAGTCCTTCGACTTGGGGTAGATTTATATAGTATAGCATTTGTATATAAGATTCAGTCATGGATTCATACTCTGTGAATGTTGTTAGATTTTTGATAATCTAAAGTAGATCACATTGAATGTAACTGATATTAGCCCTATTCTAGAGAAAACATTTGTCATTTGCAAGTGTTTGACTTTTTCATTGATAGGATTTAGGTATCAGTCACAGTCAAGATATTTATTATAAATTCAATACATAACAGAAAAGTACAAGGGAGAGACAGACTTGAGTGTTAAAGGGCTCCAGAAATTGCCAAAATGTCCTTTTAGATTCTTGTGGCTGGCAAGCTATACTGTCATTGGTTCTCTGCAAATTTGTGATGTGTTCACCTCATCATGTCCCAGCCTAGGAAATAGTCTTAGTGATCCAATCAAATGATTAAAAATAGCATTTTTATGTATTACTTCTTCCGTATCCCAATGTATTTTTAGAGTTTTAAGCTGCTAGTATCTAAATATTTGATATAAATATCTAAATTCTTTCAGTTTATAGAAAATTAGGCTGCTTTATGTCTCTTTATAATGAAAGTTCTAAAGTATCATAATTTCATTATCAGTGACAACAAACCCATCTGAGACCTATTTTTTAAGTGTCATATGGCAACTCCTCAGTAGCTTACTTTTATGATTTATTTTCATCACAATTATGGTCCTCTAGATGGTATTTTAAAAAGTAGAACAACCTTATGTTTCACGTAACACAGAATAATAATTAGTTTGTATATATATAACCATTTTCCTTGACAAGAACAATCTGTTACAGATTTTTAATTTGAAAATTAATTGGTAATTTTGTTGCTTTTAAAAGCAATTATTAACATAGTAACTAGTAAATTCTGAGAGATGACAAATGATTTTCTGTAGAAGGAACACTACAGTTATGTTAAAATGTTAACAAAGAACTAGTTGTTTTGATTTTATTTTAAACAAAATTATATTTTGTTTAAACAAAATTATTTAATAAATTTAATAATAAACAAAATTATTTAAATAAATTTAAACAAAATTATTTTATTTTAAACAAAATTATAAGGCATTTTTATGAAAAAATATATCAATGTAGATCTATTTCAAAACTGTGAGACAATTAAATTATTCATTCTTTTCCCAAATAGAGTAAAATATTATAGAGAAAAACATTTGGATGTTTAATCTGTTATTACTGTATGTTAAGAAATTACAGTTTTAAGGAATTATTGCCGTCTTCTATTTAAATATCAGAATATATTCCATTTTAATTATATCCTCCTTAACAGAAAATTAAAGAAATTTCTTGATTATTAGATGAATAGCATTTTATACCAAATCTTGTTTGTTTCATTATATTGCATATTTTTTAGTTTTCTATAAAATTTGCCACCATTTTCCAAAT